GGCTGGGGGCCCCTCCCCGGCGGCCGGGGGGCCTCACTGGGGCGGAGCTCGAACCCGGGCAAGCCTGTGCGCATGCGCTTGGGGACAGTGGCGTTGGGGGCGGTGTCTGAACTTCGGGCGGGGTCTTCACCTCCTCGAAAGCCTGGCCTGTGTAGTCGTTGTTCAGCCCCTAGGGGGCGGTCTCCCCACCCCGCCACGGGAGTCTGAGGGGAAGCGCGCCCCCTGCTCCAGGAGGAAGCCTCTGGAAGCCCAAAGACCGGGGGCCCAGCTGCCTGAGCCGGGCCAGCCTGAGGGAGGCGGCTTTGATCCCGGGGTGTGTGTTGGGGCGACGATGAGTCATTGGAACCCGTGGAAATCCCAGCCGGAATCTCGCGTGGCCTTGGAGATTCCAGGATGAGGAGGCCGCAGAAAGCCCCTGGCCCAGCTCCTTCCCTGCCCCCCGCCCTCCCCACCCGCCCCCGCTAGCGCGGGCGGGGCCTGGCTCGCTACCTTGGCTTTGGCCCGCGGGGAGCCCCTTCCGGGGGTTCCCCTCAGTGTTCCTGCTAACCCTTGCTCCCGCCCGTGCTCCGTCGGGGAGGGAGCAACTCACCGACGCCCCTTGTCCGCCCGCCGCCATGCTGCCTTTCATCTCTCTCCACGCGACCGCGGGGTGCTGCTTGGCTGTGCGCCCCACATAGTGCTCCCAGGAGGAGGCCTGGCGCCTTCCCGGGCCCACGACCCCCTGCCTTGCACCCGCCCCGCGCCGGCCGGTCGCCTCCTCCCTCCCTCTCAGCCCTCGCCTGTTTCTGGCCGTGAGAAGGCTTGGCCTCCCAGGCTGGGCTGCAGGACTGTGGGTGCACGCACTCCTCCAGCGGGAGCTAGGGTGCCCGTCGCCGCAGCCTGGCGTGTCACCGGAGTTGCCAGGTCTGTAGTGAGGAGCTGCGTGTCTCTGCAGGCGGAAGCACGTGCTGGCCGTGCTGGCGCTGCGCCGACTGGGCCGCCGCCGGAACCAGCGCCTGCTGCAGCATGCCCAGGACCTGCTGAGGGCCGCGGCCAAGGCTGGGGACGCCGGGGCCACCAGGGACCGCGTGCTCTTCGCGGAGATTGAAGTGACCGTCTCCATGGACGTTCTGGTCACCTGCATCTAATGCTCCACAGCCTGAGCTGACAGCAGGTTGTGGATCCGTGGTTGGTGGAGGTCCAGCTACCCTCCCCCAGGCACCCAGCCCCAAGCTTGGAGCCTGGGGAGGCACTCTGGGCCCTGCCCCAGCCCTGAAGCCATGGTCATGGAATTTTCCCCTCAGTCATGCATGCCTGCTTTGTCAGAAGGAACAGCAGTGATGGGACTTCTGAGGCATTTGCTGGGGAGGACTGGGGTGGCAGAGACTCACTCCCTACCATACTGCTCACTGGAGGGCCTCCCTGCCTCACTGTCTAGCCCCACCCGCAGTCTGGGAGGAAAGAACAGAGTATTTATTTTTAAAATAAATGTGAATTAAAATGGTGCCTCCCTAAGAAGGGGCTGCGCCACGCTGGCTGGGAGTAGAAGACCTGGGTCCCTGTGCACGGAGGGACTGAGCTGGGGGAGCTCAGGGATGACTCCAGGTGGTGGCTGGCCCTTTCCTGCCTGTAGTCCCATTATTTGGGTGGGAAGACTGAGGGAGGTCCAGAGCTGGGAAGGCCCACACCTGTGGCTGCACAGCCAAAGAGGCTGACTCTGGGACTCGGGGTCCACTGGTCTTGGGTGCCAAGTGAGCATCGCCCAGCTCAGCACAGCTCTGTTTGGTCCTCCACAGGCCGTGCCCTGGGGGGACAAGAAGGCGGCGAGGCCTGTTCTGCAGCTGGGGATATTTGGGTTAGATGTGGGAGGGACTTTCCAGCAGTGAAAGCTGTCAGGGTGCTGTAGTAGTGCAAGTGTCACCTGTGGAACATCGAGGGGGGTGACGCAACAGGCCTCAGCTCTGGAGGTGGGGCTGCAAGGAGTGTGCCCCCCCACCCCCCAATTCTTGTCCCAAAGAATTCTGTTCCTGTAACTTGGCTCCAGCCTGGGCATCAGGCTGCCGGGAAAACCATTTGCATTGGCAACCTCTGCCAGGAGGATAAGTAGCTGAGATGGGGATTTACAGGGAGATTCTGATAGAAGCCTCCCTCCCACTACCCTACCCTTCACACAGGGCCTCACCTATCTGGGGGATGGGGAGCGGTACTGCTGATGGGCCAAGAAACCCAACAAAGTTGAGTCAAGGACAGGGTGAGGGTCCGGAAAGACTGCAGCCCAGTGGTGGGGGAAGGGCCCTCCCAGCTTGCTTCTTGCATGTGGACACCCAGGGCCAGTGCCCGGGCAGCTCTGACTCACTCCCTACCCCCAGGCCTGAGCACAGAGCCAAGTCTGGTTGGGGCCCTGGCCCAGAGGTGGTCATCTCCTCTGGCAGCAGGTTCCAGGGGCAGCCCCTCACCCCCCTGCCCCCGCCCCCGCCCCCGCCCCCGCCATGGATGCACCTGGTCTAGGGGCCAGAGGTGAGGCAGGCAAGGCCAGGATCCAGATCTCCCTGGGTGTGGAATCCCAAAAGGTAGGGATGGGCAAGGCAGAAATGAGGAAGTGGAGAAATTCAACGTTCCCAGGCTCCAGGGCTGGGGGTTGGGGCAAGGTGTGTGTTTGTGTAAACACTTGACAAGCAGTCTTTGTGACAGTGGGGAAACTGAGGCTGACAGAGAGTGGAGGTTACACTAGGCATCAGCACAGGTGGCCTGGGATTCTCACTGCCATAGGGAAGGGGTGTTGCCAGAGGGGGGTCCTTTCCCTTAGGGGAGGGACCCAAGGGAGGGACTGGAAGAGACCCCAGTGGCCTTCACTGGCCTTGGTGGGAGTCTCAGGGGGGCATACCCATTGCCATCGAGTCGATTCCAACCCATAGTGACTCTAGAGGACAGAGTAAGACTGCCTCATAGTGTTTCCAAGGAGCACCTCGTGGATTCGAACTGCTGACCTTTTGGTTAGCAGCTGTAGCTCTTAACCACTAGGCCACCAGGGTTTCTCAAAGGGTCATAGGAAGCCTAAAAACCCAACCAAACCCGTTGCCATCAAGTCAATTCTGACTCATAGTGACCCTGTAGGATAGAATAGAATTGCCTCCGTAGGGTTTCCAAGGCTGTTGCTATGAGTTGGAATTAACTTGGTGGCAATGGGTGGGTGTTAAACTTTACGGAAACAGATTGCAACGTCTTATCCCATGGAGCAGTTGGTGGGTTCGAACCATCGACATTTGGTTTAGCAGCTGAGCGCTTAACCACTGCACCACTAGGGCTCCTTATAGGAAGCCTGGCCTGATCTAATCTGGCCCTGGCCAGGTTGTCCCCAGGGAGCCCTCTGACTGATGCTGCTCTACAGCCCCAGCCTCACCAGCAGTTCTGGCTCTGCTGCTTTCCAGACTGAGAGCATAGGCAGGTTCTTTCATGTCTCTGCGCCTCAGTCCTTCTAGCTGTGAAATGGGATGCTGGGGAGGGTGAAGTAAGAACCAGCCGTAAAGCCACACTCCTGCACCCTGTGACCCTGTGCCCCCGGGGGCCTGTTCAGGCCATGGTATGCAAGAAGCTGAGGTGGCCCTGGGCCTAGGCGTGGGGGAGCCCTGAGTGCTGAGTGAAACCTGAAGTGGGATGGGGAAGATCCCCCAGGGGTGGCTGGGAAGAGGCAGAAAGCTGAGCAGCATCTGCTGTCGACAGCTTCACACGGCCAGGACGACCTTTCTGGCCTGCCTAGAGGTTTCAAGGCCCACAGACAGGAAGTCGGTTTTCTTGGCAGGAACTGTGTGTGCATGTGTGCTGGTCCGTGGCAGAGGGGGTTTGTATGCATGCGTGTGCGCACAGTCCTGTGAGCCCGGCAGTGTCTGGGGGCTGGGGTCAACTTCTCCAGGAGGGAGACCGAGGACCAGAGGGTGGGTGGGGCCAGGGATTCTGGGCTGGTTCAGGCCCAGGAACCTCTCACTGCACCCCCACCCCCACTAGATTCCATGAGACCTTGGAAAGAGCCTAGAGTATTTATTTGGCCTTCTTGTCCAGACACGGGGGGGGGGGTGCCAACCTGATGCCTGGTTCTCAGAACTTTCCGGAGTTATTGGCCAGGCTGTCTCAGTGTGTGTGTGTGTGTGTGTGTGTGTGTGTGTGTGTGTGTGTGTGTGTCTGGTCTGTCTGTGGTATATGCTGGCCTGTCAGTGCCCCTGGGATAGAGGGGCTTTGCCCAGCCCCCATGCTCTTCTGTGGGGCAGGACAGCCTGAGGCCATCCCATTGGGCCCCTTAAGCTTGGACCCCCGGGCCCGCCAACTGTCCCCTGGTCCCAGCCCCTGTCCCCTGGTCCCAGCCCCTGTGCCTTGGCCCCAGCCCCTGTCCCTGGCCCCAGCCCCTGTCCCCTGGTCACAGCCCCTGTCCCCTGGTCACAGCCCCTGCCTGCCCCCTCCCCGAGCTACATCTCCTTCAGGGCCCAGCTTGTGTTCCCCCAGGGCCGCCCGTCCCCTCGGGCTCCTTCATGTACCGGGGTTGCCTCTGGTCTCTGTCCCTAAGCTGGGGGTCTTTGAAGAGGGGCCTGCTCTGAGAAGCGTCTGGGGCCCTGGCTGAGGCCGGGCTTGGGAGGGCAGTGATGAGGCGCAGAGGCTGTGCCTGCCGGAGGCAGGAACTCCCGTCTGAGGGGCTGAATCTCAGCCTGCCTGGCCCAGGGACAGCACAGGGGCCGGCAGGGGGAGGGGGCTGGGGCCTATACTCCCTGTGACCCACTTCCCCCCCTGGTCCCCTGGTCCTTGGGTCCAGCCCCTCTGGGTGTGTCCTGCTGGAAAAGTCCATGGGGCAGAGTCAACAGAATTGGGTTCAAATCTCAGCTCTGTGGTGCCCCGGGTCTCCCTCCTCTCAGACTGTAATAAGAGAGGTCACCCCATAGGCAGGGGAGCACGGGGACAAACGGACCTGTCCACAGAGGTCCTGGCACCAGAGGCATGCTGCGAGTGGCGGTCAGCCATGTCACCACCGCGCCTGGTCAGCCCCGCCTCTTCCTCCCTTGCCTGGTGACCATGGCCTCTTCCTTCCCACCCTGGGCCTCAGCAGGCCCCCTGAACATCAGGGCAGCACCCTCGGCAGGTTGGAGGGAGGTCCCAGCAAGGCCCCTCACCACTGCCCGAGAGGGTCCCCAAGGCTATCCTCCCTTCCAATCTCACTTCCTCCCTTTGTTTCCACAAAGAGGCCACTTTGGAAACTCTAGCAGGCATGGCTAGGAGGCTCACTCCCCGGTCGGGTCGGTGTCTGCCCGCTAGCAGACACAGGCGACACTGCCCTTCCCCAGCCAGCCAGTCCTCAGTGCTGTGCTGGGTGCTGCGTTGAGATGAGGCTGCTGCCCAGGAGGGCTGACTCCACCGACCCAGATCTGGGCCTCAGGTCCTGCTGGATGGTAATTCAGGCACCGCCCGGCAGGGGGACTGTAGGGTGGAGGGAAGACCCTTCACAGGAGAGCCAAGAGCTCCCTCGGGTGAGCAATGCCAGCATCTCAGCCCAGCCTCCCTGGGTCCCCTGCTCCGGGGAAGACCCCTGGAGGGACCTGAACTTGGACACATCACACCCACCCTGGGCCCACTCCTGTCCTGGGGCACAAGGGTCCCCGGCCAGCCATTGCAAAGGCCCTCCCTCCTTCCAGGACTCCGGAACTCTTTATCTATCTGCACATCTACCCACCCACCTATTTGTGGCCTTAAAATTTATTAAAATGCCTTAACTTTTATAAAGTTTTATTTCAAATGGTGGCACATTCATATAATTCAAATTTTAAAAATGTACAAACAGATACAAAGTGAAAAGTCTCTTTCTTAAGCCTGTTCAACCACTTCCCTTCCCCAGAGGCAACCAGCGTTGTTGGCTCCCCAGAGGACACTTGAATTTATAAAAAGCAGTGCTTACCTGAGAAATATACCATGAATGGTAGAATTTCAGGCATTGGTGAATGTCATAGATTGAATTATGTTCCCCCCCAAAATGTGTGTATCAGTTTGGCTGAGCCATGATTGCTGGTACTGTGTGATTTTCCTATATGTTGTAAATCCTACCTCTATGATGTCAATGAGGGAGGATGGGCAGCAGTTGTGTTAGTAAGGCAGGACTCAGTCTACAAGATTGGATTGTATCCTGAGGCAATGTCTTGAGATATAAAAGACAGAAATGAGCAAGAGACAGGGGGACCTCATACCATCAAGAAAGCAGTTCCGGGAGCAGAGTGCGACCTTTAGACCAGGGTCCCTGCGCCGAGAAGCTCCTAGTCCGGGGGAACACTGATGAGAAGGCCGAGAGAGAGAAAGCCTTCCCCTGGAGCTGACACCCTGAATTTGGACTTTTAGCCTACTTTACTGTAAGGAAATAAACTTCTCTTTGTTAAAACCATCCACTTGTGGTGTTTCTGTTATAGCAGAACTAGATGACTAAGACAGTGAAAAACCTGTTTTTGCTGGAGTTGGTTGGGTTGGGGGGATAGGGCTGTCCTTTTTTTTCCACCCACCTGTGAAAACCCTTTATTAAAGCAGCAATCAAAAGTACAGGATGGATCACATGGTTTTCTGTTTTAATTGTGTGATTCCGTTTATTTAAAGTTCAAAACCAGGCAAAAGTATTCTATGCTCATATAAGGCAGAGTAGTAGTGGGGCTTGATTTGGAGGGGATGTAAAGGAGCCTTTTGGGCTACTTCTTGACACCAGGGAGCTGAAAAATTGTCACTGGAAAACCCCACATTGGATGATGTTGCTTGTTAGAATCTACAGATTTCCCAGGCTCACTTCTGCCTTTTAGAGTTCCTGGAAGCAGTCAGAACATAATTGTCAGCCAGGACTCTAGCTGCAAGTGAGTCTGGAAAATCTAGTCCTTATAACTGCTCTCTTTTTAGTTCTTGCAGGTGACAGCCAAGTGTCAGTGTTGTAATGGATGTTGTGCCTCTTGATCCTCATTGACCTGAAGTTTGAATAATAACCTTTGTTTCAGGAGGCAACACTTCCAGTTGGTCTGGCTTTTTAAATGTTTGATGGTTCTTGGTTTTGTGCTCCATATTCTCCTTTGAGGTCAACAACTGTTGGCTACATTTGGAACACTGGAAGACTGTCTTGTTTCAATGCTTCCAACAATGATTCATGTACAGTGTTGAAGTTTTGAAAATTTTGAGACAGAATGGACAAAGCAAATTCTTAGTGTTTTCACGGTAGGTTCTCAAATGGGTTTCCACATCAGTGAAGGCCAATGATCTGTAATTGCAAACCTGACACACATAAGGTATTTCACCATGCGTGTCCGTCACGTGTTGTAAGAGAGTCTGGTCTGTTCTGAATGACAACTCACAGATTTTACAAACAGTGGAGGGTTCCTGGGTGATGTGCACATTTTCGCTGTGATCCTGCATCTGGAAGGGAGTGAGAAACTGCCAATGGCGGTGCTGGCAGGTGGTGTGGCTGTCCCAGCTGTCACTCATATGCTTCTCAAGTTCCAAATGGTGCTTCACGTAGTTCATAAACTTCATGTTCTTTAGAATTTTCAGGCAGCCAAGGCATTTATATGTTGTGTGAGTCTTCTGGCTGCCCAATTCCTTCATGTCGTCTGTAGTGGATGTCACGAAGAAACACAATCAGGTTTCCTTTCTTGGAATCAAAGGTCTTGGGTTGAATTGCTATTCTTGAAAAGTCCGTTTCTGCTAGTCCTTCAAAGCTTTTTTTTATGACTGGATTCCTAAGATTGAAATGTGTTTTATCATGTGCACAAACCCGAGGAAACGATGCTTCATTTTGACCATGACTTGATGAGGTGTGAACACCTTTTGAGGGTGTACTAGTGTTCACTGTAGGAGAAGTACCTGATGGAGTATCCAAAGACTGTCCCTCTGAGATTGCATCACTGAGATTAAGCCTTTTGGAATTTCCACTGTTCATATCATAAGCGGAAAGTTGCTTTGAATCATGAGGACTTTCATCTGTACCACCTACAGAAAGAGCAGTGACAACTGTATGTTGAGTCCATGGTGAGAGCAAATCTGAGGAATTATGAGACATGATGTGTGGTGATCTCCTTTTGTAACCAGATGTGGATGAACAATCAATAGTAGGTTCATCTGTAGATCTCGATTCAGGTTGAGAAATCGGCCAGATGGACACCTCTTTTGATGTAAAGGTCCTGTGATTTTCAGGCTGCAATGCATGAACAATACCTTGACTATGGTGGCCTTTCTTTCTTTTTGAGTGTGGACCCTGGGTGGCTCTGTTCAAAATGTTTAAAATGACCAGTTTTGAATCTGAAATCACCCTGACAAAGTGAATTTCAGCATCTTTGTTTACATGATCCACCCCACCAAAGATCAGTTAAGCTTCTTCATCATCACAGCCGCCATGTTGGATTCTTTTACACTCTTCTGTGGTTCTGGCTCTTGTTCTCCTCCATGCAAGAAGAGATCTGCCGTTTTTGATTTTTTTTTTTTTTTGCTTGAAGCAAGTGATGTCTTCAACTTCCAGTGCTTTATTTTATATAAATTGCCACCAGTTCCTGAAGTTGTGTGTCCCAGTGATTCAGTGGTGCTCCATCTTTGCCAGTCTGTGCCACAGGGAGGGGGAAGCTGGTGGGTCTTTGCCATCATGTCCTCGAGAAATTTCCTGGTTTTTTGCCTTTTTTTTGTTACTGTAACATCAATTTAAATGTCATTTGTTTACATTTTGAATTTTTTTTAAGTTTTAAAGTTTATAGTTTACAAAATCACCTGTTTGATGTTTCTGTCCAGATAGATTTTTCAGCTTATTTCCCTGTTTTAACAAATGACATCCTGAACCACTGAAATACAGCAAACCAAATGGAAGAGCAAACCTCTTCAACCCTAACTCACTCTTAGCTGCTCTATGTTGTCTGAGAGACACCTTCGAAGGCTTTTTATTATTGGCTAAATAAAACTGATTTATGCTAGAACAGTCTTAGAACTATATGCTTTCTATTTTTATATTTGCTAGCTTTAATTTTTATTTCGATATTCTTGGCATTTGTCCTTCTATAAATTCCATCTCTACAAAGTCTCAATTAAAGATTATCGTCACCCTTATGTTTTTTTTTTTTTTTTTTTTTTGTGTGTGTATAATAGGTAAACACTCAAGTCCTTTGGAAAATATAATAATTCCATTGAGTCCTTGGGTGGCATAAATTGTTAAGCACTCGACTATTAGCCAAAAAGCTGGCAGTTTGAATCCACCCAGAGAGGCCTCGAAAGAAAGGCCTGGTGATCTACTTCCAAAAGATAACAATTTTGAAAATCCTGTGGTGTGCAGCTCCACTCTGCAACACGGGAGGTCGACGTGAGTCAGAACTGACTCAATGGCAACTGGTGGTAGCTGGTCTGGTTGTATTTAATTTTTTTCTCCATCACTGATGTGCTTAATCCAAACCTGGTTAATCACTGTGGCAACCCTAAGAAAGTCAATAGGAGAGTGAACTTTGTTACCTAGGAAAGATTTTTTAAATGCATTATGAATGATTAAAATCTCGAAGGTAACAGGTGGTCAAAATATGTGTGTTTGGTCTGGTCCTTTTTGAACCTAAGGCTCTTAGATGGATACCAAAAGACAAAACAAAACAAAACAAAAAACCCATTGCTGTCAAGTGGATTCCGACTTGTAGCGACCCTATAGGACAGAGTAGAGCTGCCCCATATGGTTCCCAAGGCTGTAAATCTTTATGGAAGCAGACCGCCACATTTTCTCCTGTTGAGTGGCTGGTGGGTTCGAACTGCTAACCTTTCAGTTAGCAGCCAAGCACTTAACCACTGCACCATCAAGGCTCCTCATTCTTAGATTGATGTCTGGCTGAACATTGGGCCTCTCTTCTCCCCATCACAGCTCCCTCTCCTAAAAAGACCTTTCACAAGGCTCTCCCTCCCCCAGCAGGTGATGATATAAAATGACCAAGTTCAACTCCCTAAAAGGGTTGAAGTCCCTTCTGGCATAGGGCAGCCCCAGGGCTAGCTGCATGGGGAGCCCTTCTCAGAGCCGCCATAATTTCCAGGAAAACAGCTGCTGAGTTTGGTCCATCTAGGAGAATACCACCCTGTGACTGGAAGACTGAGCCCAGAGCGGTGAAGTAAGTTGCCCAAGATCACAAAACCTGGACAGTGCAGAGCTGGGATTCCAGCCCAGGGGCGTTGGAAACCAGAGGCTGAGCTCTTAACTGCTGCAGTGACGCTAAGAGCGGGAGGGGACGGGGACAGGAAAACCAGAAATCACTGAGCAGAGCACACTGGCGGTGCCCCTGAAACGGCAGGACTTCCTACGACATTTCTCTTTCCCGGAGTTCTAAGATTCCATTATTTCTTAGATTGATAAAGTCCCTCTCAGTCTCTGTCTGTGAAGTGAAACCACAGGAATCCTCTGCGGTTGAGTCAACTCCATTTCCAGGAGGGAAGACAGATCCCCAGGAATCAAGCAACGTATCTAAAAACACAGGTGTATGTGGTGGAGCTCAGAGAGCCCCAGTGGTCCCAGTGGCATCACTAGGGCTGCTGCCACTGTTTCAGTCATCGAGTGCCGCTGTAACAGAACACCATGACCACAAGTGGGTGCCTGTAACAAAGAGAAATCTCTTCTCTCACAGTCTCAGAGGCCGGAAGTCTGAATTCAGGGTGCCAGGTCCAGGGGAAGGCTTTCTCTGTCAGCTCTAGGGGAAGGTCCTTGTCATCGATCTTCCCCTGGTTTAGGAGCTTCTCAGTGCAGGAACCTTGGGTCCAAAAGACATGCTCTGCTCCCAGCATTGCTTTCTTAGTGGTATGAGCTCTCCTTGTCTCTCTGCTTGTTTTTCTCTTTTATATCTCAAAAGAGATTGACTTAAAACACCACAGAATCTTGTAGATGGAGTCCTGCCTCATTAACATAATTGCCACTAATCCTGCCTTATCAACATTACAGAGGCAGGATTTATAACACATAGGAAAATCACATCAGATGATGTGGTGGACAGTCACATGGTACTGGGAAATATGGCTTCGCCAAGTTGACACACATTTTGGGGGGACACAATTCAATCCATAACATTCCACCCTTTGGCCCCCCAAAATTCATGTCCTTGCCACATGTAAAACACATTCACCCCATCATATCATAGCAAAGGTCTTAATGCAACTCCATGTCCAGAATGTAATCATTGTAATTGAGTAATGATGACAGCTGTGACCTGAGCACATTAACCTGTTGCCCTCGAATCGATGCCAGCTCATAGTGACCCTATAGGACAGAATAGAACTGCCCCATAGGTTTTCCAGGGAGCCGCTGGTGGATTCAAAGTGCCAACCTTTTGGTTAGCACCCAAGTTCTTAACCACTGTGCCACCAGGGCTCCACATTTGAAGGTTCAAAAAAGTAAATTAGCATAGAGTTTTAGCCTTGTAGGTATATCGATACATGTAAACTGGGCTTATGAAAAATGTTTTTGTTGTTATAACTAACCATCCAAAACCCGTTGCCATGGAGTCGATTCCGACTCATAACAACCCTATAGGACAGAGTAGAACTGCCCCATAGGGTTTCCAAGGAGCATCTGGTGGATTTGAACTGCTGACCTTTTGGTTAGCAGCCAAACTCTTAACCACTATGCCACCAGGGTTTCCATAACTAACTACAGGGATATTTTTATAAAAAAGAATAAATTTCTGCTGAAACACTGCACAAACATTTTATAGAGCAATCGTTTTGGTGTCGCCCTCTCTGACAGTGTCACCTGGTGCAGTCCCCACCCCCACCCCCTAGTGGCGTCCCTGGGTGGTCCCCATGTCCAAGCCCCCACCATTGTGCCTTCCTTCCCCAAAGTCTAGAAGCTCCAGGCTTTCGGGTAAGGAGGGAGGCCCAGCACCCCCCCCCACCCCGCTCGAGGAAGTGGTGGCCCTGTGCTGGTTTGGGCGGCCCCCTACCCCTTCCCCTCCCTCCCTTCCTCCTCTCTTTCTTCAGCCATGGGTTTTGCACAGAGCTCTTGCCAGGTGACCTTAGGTGGTACTCTCCTACATGGACCAAGCTCGGCAGCTGTTTTCCTGGAAATCACAGTGACTCTGAGAAAGGCTCCCTATGCGGCTAACCGCCCGCATCAGGGCTGCCCCTTACAGGAAGGGAGCTGACTCCCTAAAAGGGAGTTGAATTTGGTCATCTTACGTCACCACCCGCTGCGGGAGGGAGAGCCTTGTGAAAGGCCCTTTTAGGAGAGAGAACTGAGATAGGCGGGAGAGGCCCCCTATTCAGCCGGAGACGCTCCTCCAGGAAGTCCTCCTGCACTGCACTCTTTGGATTGAGGCCCCAGTGTCCCTGTCTGCCAGACCCAGAGAGATATCCCCGGGGATGGCTTCCTCCTGCGAGGGAGGGGAGGGGCTGCTAACAAGTAAACAGCCTCCCGGGGTGGAGGCGGAGGCGGGAGGGGTGGGAGGAGGGGCTCCAGGTCTGGTGACTGCCCTTGGGTCCCCCTCAAGCATGGGAGGGGGTGCTCTGTGCGGTAGCCCCTGGTCAGCTGTCCTGACCCTCCCGTGGTCCTAGAGGAGATCAGCAAACTGCAGCTGAGGCCCTGGGCAGCTTCAAATGACCCCGAGCATGTCACTTCCCTTTTTGGGGAAGGCTGGTGGCAGCAGTGACCCCAGCCTCAAGGCCTCAACCTGTGTGTCCACTGACTTCCTCTGAAATTTGGTTTACTCATCTGTCATACCTGGGATAAAATGGCTCAGTGCAGTTAGTGAGTGAGTGGGACAGTCCCAGGAAGCAAGACCCCAGGAAGGCTCCAGGTGGGGGGCGGCCTGAGAACTGAAAGCCAGAAGCAAGGTCAGCCCTGTCCAGAGCCAGAGGCAGGGTGCTGGGAAGTGCAAGTCATCGTGCAGGGGGAAGTGGGGGGAGGGCTTAGGGACACCCTCAAATTCCCTGTCTCCCCTTTTGGGGAGCCCACCCACAGTCAGCACCACCCTGTGATCAAGGCGACCAGCCAAGCCTCTGGCCGGGGCCTCCTGCTGTAGCCAGGCCCAGTGACCCACAGCCCCTGACACCCGGCTGGTCCCTCTGCCCAGCCTTTGCGCCTGCTGACCCCTGCCCCAGAATGCCCTCCTATAGCTCCCCTCTTGTAGGGAGTGCTCCTCCGGCCAGGCTCTCGGCCAGTCCAGAGTGACTGGAGGGAGGACCATTAGCCACATTTGCCCTGCATTATTCTCTGGTCCCACCCTGGGTGTGTCCTCTCTGTTGGCAGGGAGGCTGTGGGGCTTGTCCCTCCTACCACCCCACAGGATGGGGGTGGAGATTTCAATCAATTGACTAAATGAGGTGATGAAGAGACTGGGAAATCATTTTCTGAAAGAGGAAAAAGAAGTGGAGGGCAGTTCAAAACTCCCATTTCTGTACCTGATCGCTCTGGCCTGGCAGTCCGTCCTTGCGTCTGACTTAAATACATCACGCTGTGTTTCAGACATGGAGCAACACTGCAGGGGAAGCAGTACAGCCTAGTGCTTAGTGAAAGAGCTCCCAGCTCCACCACTGGCTGGCACATGACTGGGCCCATCTGTGCCTCAGTTACCTCATCTATGACAAAAGGACAATTAAGCAGTAGTCACTTTATGAGGCTATTTCACAGATGAAATCAGTTAATGCAGAAAGAGCCCTTAGAGCAGAGGCTGGCAGCAGCGGAGGCCAACCAAAGTCAGCTGTGTCAGCCCTGCCCTGTGTGTCCCCAGCCTCTGAGGCCCTGGCTTGCGTGCGAGGAGCTGACCATGGCCTGTCCAGGTACTGGCTCACCTGGCCTCTGGGCTGGGCTGGTGGGGGAGGGTCTGCTTCATTTGCCTGCTTCACTTGGTGGCTCCCCCAGCCAGGTGGAGCACCTACTAGGGAGGCAGGGATGGGCTCTGGCCGGCTGGGAACTGGGGAATGGGCCTTGCTGGCTGGGATGCTCTGGACCAGCATCTGAAGCTCATTTCCTGCTGGGATGTATTTCCTGGCTGGCCTTTGGATCCCCTGGAAGCCCTGGCCTCTGGGGACCTGGGGACCGTGGAATGAGAATAGCTCCCGCCCCGTTGACCCTACTGGCTGTTGAGAGAAGGACATGAGATGGTCCTCTCATCAGTCGGCCCTTTGCGCAGACCCTGGGCTGAGGGCTTCATGTATGTGACCTTGACCCCATGCCTGGAGCTCAGAGAGGGGAAGTGGTTGGGACAGCCACACAGCGGAAGGCAGCACCTGTTTTTCCCAAGCCTCCCCTTCCCCAGCTACAGGTCCTCAGCATAGCATCCCTGCCTTCTCCCCCACTGCAGGCTACACGTTGGTGGTCCAGTACCTGCCCTGGGTGGGCGGGAAGTGTCATTCCTGCCCCAGCTGAGCTCTGAGGGGACATGGGGGTCTGCAGCAGGCCTGCGCCCTTTCCCATGACCTGAGAGCTGGAATTTCATCTGTGATTTCCCAATGGCTCGGGGCTGGGCGTGGGGGCTGGAGCAACTGACAGCCTGCCAGGGATTGCTCAATGCACCCACAGCAGGGGCCACAGAGGCAGCCCGCCAGGCTCCCTCTGCTCACATCCTCATTGCCCGGCCTGCTGGCTGAACTGCAGCTGGGCCTCAGTCTCCCCATCCGTGCCTGGGGAGCAGGCGGGATGGCCCTCCCAGCATGGGTGTGATGTGTCTCTGTTGGCTCTTCTGAAAAATGGGGCTGTTGTCACCTCGGGGAACTCAGGGAGGGGGAGTGGGGTCCATCTTATTGTCACCACTTGGCAGCCGCCTCCCTCCCTCCGCAGCTCAAGCCCCCAGGGATGGGATGGAAGATGACAGTCCAGGCCCAAAGCTGGCGCTGGGCCACCCCTCCAGAGGAGGAAGAGGAAGTTCTTAGTCCCCAAAACACCCCTGCCCCCTACTTGCTCAGCCATCCCTCACTGGGACCTGTGCCCAGGCTGTTGGGGGAGGGGGGTCGAGATGGGGGAGGAGCGAGCTGCGTTGAGAAGGGAAGCTGGTGCGGAGCGAGCCGGGAAATTCCTGAATGACATGTCCCTCTCCAGAGCACAGGGATTCTTAGTCCGCGCAAAAGGGAAGGCATCCGCTGCCAGTAAGTTCCTTTTACCCTCCTCCCGCTACACAGACCCAGAGAAACAAGGCTTAGCTGGGGAAACTGAGGCCCGGAAAAGGGTGTGACCTGCTCATACACAGTGGAGCAGGGACAACGCTGGGCCGGGTGGCGACTGAAGTCTGAGCTCTTGGGGTCTGGACCCCAGAAACCTGGCCTGGCTCAGCCCCACCTCCTCAGAAATGGGCAGTGCTTCCCTCGGAGCCCTGCAGGCTTGGCGTGAATTCAGACCCTGCCACTTACGGTGTCACCTTGGACATGTCACTTCGCCTTTCTGAGCCTCAGTTTCCTCGTGTCAACAAGACTCGATAATGGTCGTGTGGGCAAAACACCAGCCCAGCGCCGGGTGGTCATTGGTGCTTTGTCCATACCCTGAGTGAGCAGCCCTGCAGCCGTCCTTCCCCAGGGGCGCCTCCTCCAGGAAGCCCCCCCCCCCATGCCTCCATGCAGCCACAGTGGTGCCGCTGGAGTGGGAGGCTCTCCCCAGAAGGGGTGACCCTCGCGGGGCCTGAGGCTGGCTCTGTGACGAGGGAAAGTGCCCTGGGGGGCGTGGACCCCTCCCAGGCAGCCAATCAGGGCCGTCGTCGGACAATGGGGCAGAGCCCGCCAATCCCGGGGCTGCTGAGCTCCTGGGGTGCAGTTACCCTCACCCCACTTACTCGGCGGGCGCTTGGCCAGCACCCTCTGTCCCCGGACCCCCGCCCACTGATGGGAGGTAGTGACCCCGCTGCCCCTCTCCTGCCCCCGTCGCCTGCTGGGCGGGCCCCTCCCGTCGGGCTGCGCGTCACCCCGGACTCCCTCAAGGCGACACACTTGATCTCCGCCCGCGGGTTTTCCGCGATCGCGGCGGGCGGGGCGGCGGGCGGGGCCTGTGACTATTTCAGGCCGCGCCGGGCCCTGCCAGGACAGCTGCGCCCGTCCGACAAAGTAAGTGACCTCCGCCGTGCGTCAGTCCCCGCTGCTCTGGGCATCTTCCCGCCCCGGACCCGCTTCCCCAGCCGGCCGGGTCCTGGGAGGGAGCGCCCGGCGCGACCGAGGGTACCTAGAGAGCGGGATGCTTCGGGGGTTCCCGGCCTCGGGCGGCCCCCCTGCTGGGGAAACCGAGGCCCCTACGATGAGCGCCTGCGTGTCAGGGCCCAGTGGACCCAGGTTTGGCGCCCCCAGGGCAGGGCTCCGTCCTGAAAGGCCGGGGGCAAGGGCTGCGGGAGCAAGTGGCAAGGATCTCCTTTCCATTGGACAGTAGGAAGGCTGGGGCCCAGGCCGTGGCTCCCGGGCTGTGTGGCCTAGGCGAGTCACTTCCCTTCTCTGCACTTGGGGGTCCTTGTCTGGGAGCTGCATGAGCCCTCCCTATCAGGTCCAGGATAGAGGGAGCCAGGCACAGAGGCCACTGGGAGGCTTCAGGGCTTCAGCCCTGACCCCAGGAGGGGGTGAGGGTGTGTGAGCCTGAGGACAAGCTGGGGAGGGAAGAGGCTTGGCGAAGGTGCCACTGTTGGGCCACAGGCTGTGGCCACACTGTGTGACTCTGAGCAGCCCAGTTCCTGCCTGAGTGTCCCCAGCCAAGGGCCAGGGCCTAAGGGCTTGCCTCTCCTACTGTCCTCGAAGCCACACTAAGGCCGACTATGTGCCCATCACTGGGCTGTGTGGTTTTGCCACATCCTCCCAGCAGCACTGTGAGGTGGGTGCCCTCCTCCCCGTTTCCCAGATGTAGAAACTGAGGCCTGTGAAGGAAGCGGTGTGGTCAGTCTACAAACTAGTGAATGGTGCAGCTGAGCTCACAGCCTTGTCTGTTTCCACTGCATCAGCTGCTCCTGGGGTGGGGCGAGGATTCTGTGCAGCAGCGGGAAAAGGCAGGGATGCCAAGCCGGGCACCCGCAGGAGCCTGGCCCGTGTGGGGATGAGGAGCTGTGTCATACCGGGAGGTGGGGGACAGTGAGGGCAGCGGTGGGCCAGGTGGTCAGGGCAGCCCCACCCCAGAAGGAGGGCAGAGGGGAGGCCCAGGTGCCCAGGGCAGGGCTGAGAATGAGACTGGCTGGCAGGGGAATCTAGCTGGGCAGCGAGAGGGCAGAGTGGTGGTGTCAGGTGGCCTGCACCTGGGGATTGCGGCTTTGTGGCTCCCCAGGGCACTTCTTGCTGGATCCTCGAGTGGGACTCTCAGTCCAAATGGCCCAGGAGAGGCAGCTGAGGTCCAGGAGTTCAGGGATCTGCCCAGGCCACTGGGATGGGGTGTGAGGAACCCAGGCTCACTGTCCCCCACATGGCTCTGGCCAAGCGTCCGGGGTTCTGCCTGGGGGAGTGGGACAGGGTGGTCCGGCTGGTGGAGGCAGCAGGGGCTGTGGGAAGAGCTAGACAGGCCTCGTCTGAGCCCCAGGCCTGTTGTGTGCCTGCGGCAAGCTACTGCCACCTCCTGTCTCAATACTCCCCCTCTTACGCTGCATTCCTGCCGCCTCCCAGGACAGTTGCAAGGTTTAAGCAAAGTCACTGCCTCCTGTGAGGCATGGCTTGATGTGCTTACTTTTGAGGGGTGGGGTAGGCAGGTGGCACCATGGCTGTGGGCACCCCAGCTACCAGGAAGGCCCAGCCCTGCAGGCTCCCCATTCCCAGCCCTGCCCTGCTGCCTCCCAGGAGGCAACCAAGCTCCCCTCCAGGGTCCCGCCTCTCTGGATGTAGCTTGCAGGGCAGTAGGGTACATGGAGGCAGGGGCAGAGCCAGGCTCTGCATCCGGTGAGCTGAGTTCCAGGCCCAAGCTGTGGACCTTAGGGACATTTTAAACGTCTCTGGGCACTTCCGTAAGATGAGGAAGATGACACGTCTTCCAGTGGGAGTGAGGACAAGATGGGGTGGGCACCCCAGAAGGGCACCAAAAGTGGAAACTTTTGTGATGATGATGTCATCCCATTGGGCGCATCCAGGGTGGGGTGGGAGCTGGGAAGCCGGGCTGTTGCTGAGTGACCCCGAGCTGCCCTAGGCCTTGCTAAGCCCTGTGCCCCACTGTTATATGAAAGGTTCTCCAAGGCATATTCCCTTCCCCCGAAGTCTGGCCCCGAATGATCCCATTTGAGAGAGTGCTGTGGTTTCTGTGGGCCTGAGCCCTGAGGTTGGGGTAGGGAGTCAGGCTCTGCTTCCCTCGTGGTCCCAGAAGGAGTGGCTGTGTTTCTGCTTATGGCATCCCTCCAAGACCTCACTGCTAGACAAGACAAGAGAGGAGCCGAGTAGGCTGCAGCAGGGGCGGGGGCTGGACGGGAGGAGGCCTGGGTTTCCACCCCAGCCTGGCCCCAGGTCCTCTGTGACCCTGGCATGGCCCTGGCCACTCTGGACAGGGTCTGCTGGGATCCAGCACGGGGCCTTATGCCCTGCGTTCTTCTTCTCCCTGCCCAGAGGGTGGGCTGCCAAGGAAGGGTTTGCCAGAACGAAGTGATGGCCCCCTTGTCCGGGAGGCCCCCTCGTCCGGGAGGCCCCCTCGTCGGGGAAGGCTGGTGTCCCCTGCCTCTTCTCTGCTTTGGAGGCTATTCTCCAAAGGGCTGGGGGTACTGCGAGAGGAGCTGTTGGTGGTGAGACACCCAGGCCAGGGAGGGAGCTGGGTTGCTGGTACTCATCTGGGCCAGCCCATGATCAGAGCCCTGGTGGTTGTCCGTGTGAAACCAGATCCAGCATGCTTAGTGCTGCCACATGCTATGTGCTTGGGCCTGGGAGCTCAGCCAGGGCCCGTCCACTCTGGCCACTGACCCCTTCCTTCATCCCTTCCCACCTGCAGGTCTGAGCCAGGGTGATGCTGAAGATGATGACCTTCTTCCAGGGCCTCCCGGGTGAGCGGCCTGTGCCAGGGGCTGTTGACTTCCCCAGAAGCCCCCAGAAGCTGCCCTCCACATCGGAGGGGGAGTCTGAGGCCTCCATGTCAGAGGCCTCCTCTGAGGACCTGGTGCCATCCCCGGAGACGGGGGCAGCTCTGGAGAGGGACGAGGAGAGGGCTGCAAAGAAGGAGAAGAAGAAGAAGTCAAAAGGGCTGTCCAGCATGCTCAAGGTCTTCAAAGGGAGGAGGAAGAAGGGCCAGCCCAGCTCGGTGGAGCCGGAGGCTGAGCCAAACGCCAGCCCGGGGCTGGACAGCAGGCTGCCCACAGGTGCGCTGGGGCTCAGGTGGGGTTGGGGCCGGGTCAGAGCTAGTCCAGGGCCTGGGCAGGGTGGGGGCTGTCAGAGTGGACCAACCACTCCTTGGACCCCAGTGGACAGGACAGGAGGGCTGCTTTCACCTGCCCCTCCCCAATATGGGGGTCTGGGAATGGGGGGACCAGGGCATTAGTCCTGTTTGGGACACTGCCTCGCCTCCTTGGGCAAGCCATTTAATCCTCTGTGGGCGTCCCGGGAAGTGACGTATCCCTTTAGAGGTCTGTCCCTGTCGCTAACCGGCTGCTCTGGCCGCAGTGGAGGAGCTGAAGGTGGACCTGGAGCACGGGCGGCTGGAGGCGGCGCGGCCGCTGCTAGCGCTGGAGCGGGAGCTGCTGGAGACGGCGGCGGCGGGCCGCCTGAGCGACCAAGAGCTGGTGCGGCGCCAGAGCAAGGTGGAGGCGCTGTACGCGCTACTGCGCGACCAGGTGCTGGGTGTGCTGCGGCGCCCCCTGGAGGCTGCGCCCGAGCAGCTGCGCCAGGCGCTGGCCGTGGTGGCCGAGCAGGAGCTCGAGGACCGCCAGGTGGCGGCGGGGCCCGGGGGCTCGGCGCTGGCGCCCACGCGTCCACGGCACTGGCTGCAGCTGTGGCGCCGCGGCGTGACCCAGGCGGCCGAGGAGCGGCTGAGCCAGCCAGTGGCCACGGGCGCCGAGGGCCCCTCGGCGGCGGAGCGCACCTTCCTGCACATGGGCCGCACCATGAAGGAGGACCTGGAGGCCGTGGTGGAGCGGCTCAAGCCACTCTTCCCCGCCGAGTTCCACGTGGTGGCGGCCTACGCCGAGAGCTACCACCAGTACTTCGCGGCCCAGCTGGCCGCCATGGCGCAGTTCGAGCTGTGCGAGCGTGACACCTACATGCTACTGGTCTGGGTGCAGAACCTCTACCCTAAGTGAGCAGCTGGCCAGCGGACCGGAGGGCTGGGGCGAGAGGGGCCTGGGCGGCTGTGGGGGGTCCAGGGTGCAGGGAGCAGGTAGAGACGTCTGTGCGCCCAGGGGCTCCTGTCTGAGACCGCAGGGGTGGGGCCTGGGCTCAGAGAGGGGAACCTGGACTCCAAGGCGGGTGAGGCCTGGGCATGCTGGGTGGGGTTGGAGTGGGACCTGGACATAGGGGCAGGACCTAGGATAAATCTGCTTTGCCCTTGGAATCCTTAATTTCCTGGACTTCAGAGAGGTGCTCAGCCACATTCTGCAGTTAGGGAGACTGAGGCACAGAGAATGGCAGGGACCTCATCATTCATTCATTCAATTAGTACTTCCTGAGCTCCCGATCTGGTGAGGAGGCCAGGGACTGCGGGAGCCCAGAGCAGGGGCCCTGCTGCTGCCTAGGAAATCAGGGGAGCCAGCCTGGAGAAGGAGGTCGCGGCATGAGCTAGGAGCCTGCCTTACCCTGGGGAAGCTCACAGTCTAGACTGAAAAGGAGCCAGGCAGTGGAGGGGAGAGGGCAGGCTCAGAGCAGGGCGGGAAGGCCAGGGCAAAGCCTGAGGCTGAGCCACGGGGCATGCTGGGAGCTGTGCAGGACTTGTCAGTGTTTGGATTTATCTGGCCGGCTATGGGGGCACTCCCAGGCAGGAGAGCCAGCGGGTGGGCAGGGCCAAGTGGCCTGTTGGGAAGACCCCTGCTGCACAGGGTGGTCCAGTGAGACTTCAAAGCCTAGAGCTCCTCAGGTGGAGGTGGTGGTGCCAATGGAGGCCACAGGGGACCCCAGCTGGGTACACCCTGGCTCATGTACCCAGCCTCAGGGATCCCAGAGCATGCTTGCCATTCACACAGGCCACTCACTGCTGGGTGGGGTGGGGGGGATTTGAACTCCTCGGAAATGCCCGGGCCCAGGAGGCCAGGGTTCTTACTGCAAGCCTTGGCCCCGCTGGCCGCAGCCCCAAGTGTAGAGTCCGGGGAAGGACGTCTGGAGGTGTAGCCAGGGTCAGCAGTATCTGAGGGTCTCGGACACATTGGTGGGCAAGGCCTGGGTGGCCTGGCAAATGCCACGGGCTCAGTTGGTGCTGATGGTCAGTCTCCAGCAGGAGGACCGGAGGAAGGGCCAGTGGGGGCGGTGGGTGAGGTCTCAGCAGGGCACGGGGAAATCCAGTCTCAGGCAGGGGCTGGGGGACATGGCCCAGCCCTGGGCTAGTTCCTTCTTGCTTGCCCTGACTCACCAGGAAGCTCTGGGCACCTGGCTCCTCTGCCTTCCTGTCCCGGTGACCTCAGAGTCTCCCGGCCCAGAGCCCAGTGGGGTTAGCAGGGCAGGGAGCTGAGGCTGAGCTGGGCACGGAACCGGGGGTGGGGGTATCCAGGGAGGCGTGGTCAACGCCATTGTGTCCAGAAGTGTGGGGAGCAAAGGGACACCCTGCAGTTAGGGCCACAGAGAGGGCCATTCTTAAGCCTCTGGGTAGACAAAGGGCTCTCAGGAAGTGCCAGGGCTGGGCAGGTCCCCTGGGAGCTCTGGGACCCTGCAGAGGCGCCATGAGGGTGAGCTGAGATTCCCCAGCTCAGGGCAGCCCTTCCTGGCAGACTGGCCCCCACCCTGGGCTGGTGGGATGCTGGCGTCAGTGGGGCGGAGTGCAGTGCCGGCGGGGTGGGGGGGTGGGAGGGAGGAGGCCAGAACCAGGCCTACACTGGCTGTGACGACCATCTGGGTTTTATCTACGGGAGGGGAAGCTGGGAGTGCGGGGGTCAGATCTGTGTTTTCAGAAGTGTCCCCGGCTGCAAGGTGGAGGGACTGCTGCAGGTCAGGGCTGAGGCAGGGAGACCAGTGAGGAGCCAGCCGGGGGCCTGGGTGGTGCAAGGTGACTTCAGGGGACATTGGTGGACAGGAGTGGATGAGGGATGAGAGAGAAATAGGAGGGTGATATTCCTAGGTTTGGCCTGAGCCAGACTGGGTGGATGGGGAAGCTGGGGCAAGGGGTTGGGGCTTAGCTCTGGGCCTGCCGGAAGGAACTGGGAGGGGTGCTAGCTTGAGGGAGCTTGCCTTGTGGCTGGCGCAGTTCCTCACGGGGCCTCCCTCCACCCACAGTGACATCATCAACAGCCCTAAACTGGCAGGTGAGCTGCAGGGTATCAGGCTGGGGAGCCTCCTGCCCCCTAAGCAGATCCGGCTGCTGGAGGCCACATTTCTGTCCAATGAGGTGGTGAGTCCTGAGTTGGGGACAAGGATGGGAGCAGTGGGAAGGAAACACAGGGGAGGCGCCTGAGACAGACCAGATGTGGGCAGGGGACAGACAGAAGGCTGGATTGACAAACAGCCAGGCAGAGAAAATGTGGCACAGCCAGGCAGAGGGCTGGCAGTGTTCAGTCAGAGCCCAGGACCTGGTCACTGGGCACCAGTGGGCAGGGTGGGGGCAGGGCCCAGGCCCAGTGTCCCTGGGCCTCTGAGGACCTGTCCCTGAGCTGCTGTCTCTAGCTGGCCGGGGGCAGCTCTGGGCATTCGAGCATTTGGGACAGGGGAAGGGGCAGAGAAGAGGCTGCCGCAGATGGCTATGCAGGGAGCAGGCTCAGTGGTGCGTGGGAGGCCAGCCCACCTGACTGACCTGTCCCCCACCCCCAGGCCAATGTGAAGGAGCTGATGGCCAGGGCCCTGGAGCTGGAGTCACAGCGCTGGGCCCAGGATGTGCCCCCACAGAGGTTAGATGGCCACTGTCACAGCGAGCTCGCCATTGATGTCATCCAGGTACCACGGTCTGTCCCCCGTGCACGTAGTACACACACACATCCCACACACGTGCAAGGGAGCGCACTGGTGCAGAGCACACCCCACCCACTGTGTGCATACATGTGCCCCCTCCAACCCCTCCACCCCGTTCCAGCATGCCCCCTGCCTGCCCCACCCCAACCCCGCCCCAGTCCTGCCCTGCTCAGCTCACCCCCTGTTCCCCACAGATCGTCTCCCAGAGTCAGGCCAAGGCCGAGAGCATCACCTCTGACCTGGGCGTGCAGATAAGGCAGGTGCTGCTGCTGGAGCTGGCTGGATTCCTTAGGAGGTGGGTGTGCGCGTGTGAGTGCGAGAGGGGTTCCCAGCAGCTAGGACCCCTCCTTTGTGCCCCAGGTGGGGATCCAAGCTAGATCAGCTCCACCTCCCTGCCCCTAGGGTGTCTGTCTGGGCGGGAGTCCTCTCCTCCTGCCCTGCTCCCTCCTGGGCACTGAGGCTCAGGTGACCTGGCCACCCCACATCCACTGGGAGCCCCTTGTCTCCTCCCCTACTCAGTCTCAGCTGCAAAGAGGGCGCACCCACCGGGAGTGAGACCCTGTCCCCTCCCTGTGCCCCCACTGCACTCTGGGCTCCTGCCCTCTGTGACCTCCAGGACTCCTGAAGCCACCCACCCCTCCACAGTCTTCCAGCTGGGAGGGACCTGGGGACAGATGGGGCAGCAGAGCCTGGGTGGCCCCTCTGCAGGAGCCCAGCTCTGGGCTACAGGGAGCTGAGAGGATGGAAAAGGCTCTAGACTCAGGGCGGCTGGTGGGGCCGCTGAGACTGGGACTGTTCCTGTGCTTGGTGTTTGTGCTGGTCCTGAATGTGCTCCTGCCTGTTTCACCAGCTACCAGCGTGCCTTTGACGACTTTCTGGAGAGGTACAAACAGCTGAAAAATTACAGGGCCAATGTCATCGCCAACATCAACAACTGCCTGTCCTTCCGGTGAGGGTGGTGATGGGCTGGGAAGGAGTGGGAAACGCTGGCCTGCCTGGGGGAGAGAAAGGGTAGCTGAGGGTGGAGGGGAGGGTGCAGGGATGGGGACAGGAGCAGCTTCAGCAGAGATGTGGAGGGAACAAGCAGGGCTGGTGCAGCCAGCGTTTATCAAGTGCTACTGTGTCAAGCCCTTATGCAAATGCCCTGCTCTTGATCTCATTTGATACAGTAGACTCTGCAAAGTGGGCACAGTAATTGCGTCCTTTAAGCTGGGGAGCAAGCTGGGGTGGGGAGAGGCTGAGTCACTGTAGCTGTGCGCTGGGAAGTCAGGCTGGGCCCTGCCCCGGGAGGGCCCCAGATGGGCTGACCTGGACGTGTGCCCACAGGGCATGGGAGCCATTGAAGGTTCCAGAGTGCAGGAGATAGTTTAGGAAGATTCAGCTAGGGCTAACTGTGTCCCTGGGTGTGGGGTTGAAGCCTAGGCAGGGCTGGTGTGACCTCCCTCCCCCACCCTCTAGGGCATCTGTGGAGCAGAGGTGGCAGACACTACAGGACACCCACAGCCACCTGCTAGTCCCTCTGAACGAGATCAAGACTCATGGCTTCGACTCCCTGCTTCAGAACCTGTTCTTGGACCTGAAGGTAGCTGGAGCTCTTCCCCTTGGCGGGTCTGGGAGGGTCCTCTAGCGGGGAGGAATGCAGGGTCCTCCAGCCGGGAGGAATGGAGGGTCCACCAGGGGGGAGGAATGGAGGGTCCCCCAGCGGGGAGGAGTGGAGGGAGCATAGACCAGGAGGGGACAGGTTCTGGGTCGTGGGAGGCTGGACTGGCCAAGCTGTCATGAGGCTGGTGACAGTGGGTGGTGGGAGCCATAGAACGCTCTTGAGCTGAGCCCCACCATGCATTCTGAGTGAGCTTGGCCTGAGTGGGACTGCCCAGGGCTGGGAGGGCAAGGGGCATGGGTTTATATGGGATAAGTTTCTGTTCCCGGTCCCCATTTAGACCCAGCTCAGCCCCCAAGTTTGCGCACGTGTTTCCTCAACTCCCCCTGCCCGTCTGCTGCCTCCATGCCCAGCTCTCACCCCCTGGTGCTCAGTGTCCTTGGCAGCTGCCCACCAAGGCTGCAGTGGGCCAGGAGTTTGCACAAACTCCTTAGGTCCTTTGGCAGAGGGCTGGGGTAGGGGCCCCCAAAGGAAGAGGAGGGGGTTCCCTGCCCACATTTGCTGGGTGCTCATTTTGTCCCCAGCGCCCAGGGCAGGAGTCCACAGGCAGCTTGACGCCCGGCCTGTGGCCAGCTGGTGGTGGAGGCCTGGGCGGTGACCCTGGATGACTTGGCACTGGCCCTCACTGGTTCAGCCAAGCACATGGCCTTGTTTATGTAGGAATTTATTTATGTAAGAAGGATGCCTGGAAGAGGCCTCCGGGCGGGCAGACAGCTGTCCCGGCCCCTGTGCCCCAGCTGGGGACCTTGGAGAAGGGTACACAGAGCCCGCCTCCACTTCCTGTCTGGGAACAGGCACTTGAGTCCCCCCCTGGATCCTTTGGGAGTCCCCGAGCCCCAGCCTCTCTGGCTGCCTCTCTCCTCCCTGTGTTTGGGAGAGTGATAGGTGCGTGAGTGTCTGTGTGTGCGTGTCTGCGGGTGGCGGCCCTTCCTTGGCAGGTCTCCCAGACATCCTGCCTCTCTTGCAGCCGCTGTTCAAGAGGTTCACGCAGACCCGCTGGTCAGCCCCGGTGGAGATCCTGGAGGAAATCCTCGCCACCGTGAGTGAGAGGCTGCCTGAGTTCTCAGAACTGCAAGACTCCGTCCGGAAGGTGAGGAGGCACCGGCTGGTGGGTGGGCGGGTGGGGGCAGCCACGCGATCACACACACATGCATGCACACGTGAGCACATGCACACGTAGGTGCTAGGCCGGTGGGTGGGTGGGCGCGGGCAGCCCCGATGCACATGTGATTGTGTGTGTAGACACACATGTGCACACACACACAAGTACTCCTTTGCTCTGACTCCTGCCTCTCCCCGGACTCCCATTTCGGGGTGCAAGGGCCACGAGACTTGGCTGGAGGTGATGAGCTCCTCGTCAGCGGCGGCTCACACCACCTTGGCTGCCCATCCACCTAGGAGCTCATGGAGGCTGTGCATCTGCACCTGGTGAAGGAGTACATCATCCGCCTCAGCAAGCGGCGCCTGATCCTCAAGACAGCGGAGCAGCAGCAGCAGCTGGCACGGCACATCCTCAGCAACGCTGACCTCATCCATTGCTTCTGCACTCAGAACGTAAGCCCATCTGCCTGCCCCTCCGGAGCTCCATTAGGCTCCAGGACAGCCCCTTGGGGCCTCTCTGGGCCCTGGTGCCCTCCCACCAACAAGGCCTGTGTCTGCAGGGCTCCTCCGCGAACTGGCTGAGTCTTGCCCTCCCCAGGCTGGCTGAGATCATCTGCCTGCAAGACCTCAACGCCATCAAGATTGAGGTGGCCACTTATGTCACCTGGTACCCTGACTTCAGGTGAGAAAAGTGGTCACCGTGGGGCCTGAGCAGTCAGCAGAGTCCTGCCAGACCCCACTGTCTGTGGTTAGAGGCTTGGCGGGGCAAATCAGCAAACTTCAGGGCCCGTGGCGCTCTGATCCTGGTCCCAGTGACAGGGATGTATTCATTTGCTCCTCACCACAACCATAGGGCTTTCTGTCGTCATGTTACAGATGAGGCCTGGAGACCTTAAGGAACGTGCCCACGATGGCACAGCTACTCAGTGGTAAAGCCAAGATTACCAGGCCAGGCAGTCTGGCTTGGCAGCTCATGCTCTTAGCCTCTCAGAAGGGGAAAGTGAGGCGAGAGAGGCCAGGGACGTGCGAGAGGCCGTGGCATGTCAGTAGTGAAGGTGGCACCCATCACTCAGCCTGGGGGTCCTCGGGTCCACATCCCTGTTCTGGAGTGGAGGTTTAGCCCCTGGCTGCCTGAGGGCCTGGTAAGCCAGGGACATTTTTTCTTTCTAGGCTGGGCCCTCTGACTTGGTAGGGAAAGTTTAGACAGGCTTTGAGTTGGGATGACCCGGCTTAGCCTAGCCCAGCTCCTGACTAACCCATCCTACCCATCCACCCACCCACCCACCCATTTGCTCACCCACTCAGTCAGCTCATCCACCCATCCACCTACCCACCTACTTACCTGCACACTCACATTCACCCACCTGCTCACCCATACAAGCACTCATTCAACGATCTACTCACCCATCCATGCATCCATCCATCCATCCATCCATCCATCCATCCACCCACCCACTCGCTCACCTGTCCATCCATCCACTCACCCTTCCCACCTACAGTTATCCAGTGAGCCTCTGCTAGGTGCTAGGCTCTGTTCTAAGCACCGAGATGCAATGAGGTACAAGAAGGCCTGATCTCAGTCCTCCCTCAAGTAGCTTACAGTCTATGGAGGGCAAGCAGTAACAAGGTGATTGTTATTTACTTGCAACTGCAAGCTGTAAGGAGAGTTATGACCAAGGCTGTGAATAACAACAGGAGCTGAATTTAGACAGGGAGTTGGGAAGGCTTCTTTGAGGAGGTGACATTTTAGCTGAAACCTGAAGGTGTGAAGGACCTTTCCCTCAAGAGCATGGGGAAGAGCATTCCAGGAGGAACAGCCAGTGCAAAGGCCTGAGGAGGGCTGGAGCTTGGCATGCTCTAGAGTCTGAAAGAGTCAGAGTGGCTAGGAGTGGGGTGGGCAGGGGGCTGGCTGTAGGATCCTGTGGCAGCAGCTAGGAGTCAGGGAAGCTGGGACGAGGTGGGAGTAGGGGTGTTGGTGACCGACCTTGGCTGACAGACACTCTCCTTGCCAGCAAAGGCCACCTGAATGCCATCCTGGCTATCAAGGGGAATCTGTCAAGCAGTGAAGTCCGGAGCATCCGCAGCATCCTGGACATCAACACTGGCCCGCACGAATCCACCCATCCCCTATTTTCGCTCATAAGGGTTGGTTAGCTTTTCCTGCAACCTGACCTGCTTTGAGCGTCCGCGGGCACCATGTACCATTCCACTTGAGGCCACCTGTTGAGACCAGTGCCGGCTCGATGGCTTCTCACAGGCCTCTGCCTTCTGCTGCTGCTCCTGCCCAGCCCCGGCCAAGACGCAAGCCCCTGGGCGGCTGGAGTGGACAGACCCCCCTGCCTCTCTGTCCTGTGGGGGTAGGGGCACCCATCCCGGGGAGCCGACCAGGCAATGCTGAAGAAAACACTTTGTAAACGATAGTTTATCATGCGTGTGTAAAAGGAGTGGGCTAGGAGGGGGAGTGGCCAGGGTTCAGGGACCCTGGCCACCTGCCATCATGTGGACCGCCCATGGTCTGCCTCGTAGCTGTCCTCTCCTTGGGTGGATCTGAGTCTTCTTCCCAGTTCCCTGGGGCTGGGCCGAGTCTCATCATCCTGCCTCCGACGGCCAGGGCCAAGGTGAGCCAGGTTCAGCAAGTCTGTGGATTGGAGGCGTGAGTGGAAGAGAAAGGAGGAAGAGATGAGCTCTCACCTGCAGCCTGGAAAGGTCTTTAACTGCCCCACAGGGGGACAGGGGTTTGTGGGGTCACAGAGCGAGTTGGGGGCAAAGTCAACATCAGAGCCCCCCTCCAGACTGCCCCTGGAACTTAGGCTGCCCCCTCTGCAGGCCTCCCACCACCCAATGCTCTCCAAGGGTAGTCCCAGGTGGCCTTGGCATCCACCACACCTGGGCCAGGGACACCCTGGTGTTCTCAGGATCACCTGCCCCCATACAGAGGCAGGCCCCAGAGGTGCTTTATGGACCCTGCCGCTTAACACTCACCTCTCTCGGAAGTCTGGCAGAGGCCTGGGCTGGGGGAGGGCAAGCTTGCCTTCTGATCCCTTGGACTCTGCATGAATTTTCTATTGCTGCTGTAACAAATGACCACAAACTTAGTGGTTTAAAACAAGAGCTTATTATCTCACAACCTGGAGGTCAGAAGTCTGAAATGGGTCTCACTGGGCTAAAATCAAGGTGTTAGCAGGACCGCATCCCTTCTGGAGACTCTGAAGGATAATCCATTTCCGTGCCTTTTCCAGCTTCTGGAGGCCGCGTGCGTTCCTTGGCTCGTGGCACCCTTCCATATTTAAGGCCAGCAACGTGGGCCCAGTGCTCACTCTGCTGTTCCTCTGGCTCCCTCTTCTACTTTTCAGGATCCTTGTGGTGACATCGGGCCCTCCTGGATAACCCAGGGTCACCTCCCCATTTTAAGGTCACCTGATCGTTGTTGTTAGTTGCCATTGAGTTGATTCCAACTGATAGAGACCCTGTGAAACTGCCCCACAGGGTTTCCTAGACTGTGGTCTTTATGGCAGCAGATAGCCAGTTTGTTTTCCTGTTTTTTTTTTAGATCTCCTGGTTTTTTCTCCCATGGAGCCATTGGTGGGTGAACAGATGACCTTTCGGGTAGCAGCTGAGTGCTTAACCATTGCTCTGCCAGGGCTCCTTAGTCCCCTGATTCGCAACCTGAATTCCCCCTTGCCATGAAATCTAACATACCCACAGGTTCCTGGGAATAGGATGTGGACGTCTTTGGGGGCCATTGTTCTGCCTACCACAACCTCCATCCCTCCCCTACCCTTGGGGACCCTCAGGTGGGGCACAGGACTGAGGGTCCCTCCTAGACCTCTGCTTACCACCAAGGTCCTGCTCAACCCTGGGCCAGAAAGCTCCCTCTCAGCCTAGGAGGGGGCAGTTTATGCCCCTGAAGGTGCCGTGGGGGCTCTGGAGCCAGAGCTCTTGGGGTTGCCCCGTCTTCCCGGTACAGTCTTTCAAAGCCTCGGCCAGGAACTGGCCTGTGTGAGTGTGCACAGAGGCCTTTGTACATTTGTAAGGAGTTTGTGCGTTTGATGTTATTAACATTATTTTTTGATAGTACTGCTTTTATACGAGTATACTCAGGATGGAACCTGGGTTTCTATAGCTTGATATAAAGCTGATTTCAAAAGTGGCTGTTGAGTGGCTCATTTTGGGAGATGCAAAGTGGTGGTGGGTTGGGAGTTCCCTACTCCCAGCTGGGGGCATTTTTAGCATCTTTCTCAGCCTCTTGGAGTCTGGGTGAACCCTGTCCTCCCAGGCTCTGTGTCCAATCCCCAGTCTGGCCAGCCCCAGAGGCCTGCAGGGTCCACACTGCCCCCTGAGCCTGAGCTTGGAGGGTCAGCCTGCAGCCATGCCAGTCACTACACCCCTCTGTGCCTCGGTTTCTTCACCTGTAAATTTAGAGTCATGATCCTGCTGGGCCCCCCCCCCAGCCCTTCCCTGAGGACGACCTGGGGGTGCACTCCCTGACGGCAGTTCCGTTTCATGGTGTGGGGTCCAGTGAGAACTGGCTCCTGTGTTTCTGGAATTGTCCTCCCAAGTGCCCAGCAGGGAGCAACAGAGCCAGATCTGAGGGCCAAGTTCAGGGACCACGCTCACCACCTGGCTGCGGTAGCATCCAGGGCTTTTGGGGAAGGGTTCTCCTCTTCCCTCTGCCCTCCCCCCGACCTGCATTCTGGATAAGGATTTGTATAATCTGCAGTCCTAGGGCAGGAAGGAGTACCCCTCCACAAAGCCAAGGAAGGGCCCCTAAGGGAACCAAGTGTGGAGTCTGGGTCCTGCGGGAAGGACCTGAGTGGTATGGGGAATGGGGGGGTTCCATCCATGAGCTGACAGGGATGGAGGCCATTGCAGAATGGGAAGCAAAGAGTGAGGGAGAGCAGCCAGGCAAGGGGAGAAGGACCCCAAGAGATGGATCGAAAGCTGCAGGAAACTCCTGTAAGGGGGAGGGTCTCCCTGGGGGAGGAGTGAGTCCTGTGGGTGTGGGGGGCCCAGAGCCCTGCACATGAAGGTGGAGGCCAGGTGGGCCTGGGTGGGCACCTGCCCTGTTTGGACAAGGACATGGGCCCCTGTGAGTGGGGCGGGATGGGGGAGGCCACAGTCAGTCGCAAGACAAGGAGCATGGATAGGGCGCTGCCACTGCCAGCGCCGTGTTGGGTGGAGTGTGCTGTGGGGAGCAGGGGGCCAGGGTCCCCCCACTGCAGGGAGGCCTACAGGAGACACAGAACGGGGGACTAAGTGAGGCAGGTTCAATGTGAGTGTAGAGGGGGTGAGGGGATGGGGGTGCTGTGGGGGGACACGGGGAAACCCCAGCTGGCTGGGTGGAGAGAGGGGGCCCCAGCACAGACCTGGGCTGAGCAGGGCAGGGCGGAACAGCGTGGCAATAGTCTGGGAGGTGGGAATGGGAAGGGCTTGGAGAGTTGGAGGGAAAGAAAGAGGCCGAGGGCTAGGGAGGGAAAAGTGAAAGTGGAGGGAGACCTGTCAGAGCTGCAGGCAGGGGTCCCACCAACAGGTGGCCTGGGGCAGGGCCTGGGTGGGGCTGGGAGTTTGGTTTATTCTCACTGTGGAGGGAACATTGGAGGGTGGGAGGCGAGTCGGCAGATGTGATCCATGACTTGGAAAGACCCCTCTGGCTGCTGAGTGGAGTAGGGGAGGCCCAGAGACCCCTTGGGCTTTGGGGTTGCCCAGGGGAGAGAGGACCTCATCCACTGGGGCTAGGACTGTGGAGGTGAGATGCGGTTGGCTCTGGAGGTGGATCTGAAAGGACAGTTGTTGGCTCTGAGGGGGGTGTCAGGGAAGGAGCGAGTCCAGGCTGGGTGGGCACCCTTCACTGCGATGGGGAAGACCTGGGGAGGGAGGGAGAGGACCTGGGGAGGAGTTTGGTCAAGTGCAGTTCAGAAGGCTTCAGAAGGGGAGGGTTACTCTCTGGGGTGAGGCTGCGGGCACCAAGGCACTCTCCTCACTGCTTTGGGGGAGGGCAGCTTTGCATGGCCCCTGTGCGGGGCGATCTAACACCACTCAAACGACAAATACACAAACCTTTGACCCAGTAATTCCCCTTCTAGAAATTCATCTTATTGCTACTCCAACATACGTGCAAGACGTCTCAGGTACCGGGTTAGTTACTTGCTAGTAGCGAAATACTGAGAGCCACCTAGATTCCCATCAGCGAAGACGCGTCAGATAATTGCAGTTCACCCAAATCGTGGAGCACTGCTGTGTTGTTAGCTGCTGTCAAGTCGGCCCCCAACTCATGGCAACCCACTGGGGATTGAACCGTTGTGATCCACAGGTTTACACTGGCTGATTTTTGGAAGTAGATTGCCAGGCCTTTCTTCCTAGTTTGTCTTAGCCTGGAAGTTCCTCTTAAACTTGTTCAGCATCATAGCAACACACAAGCTTCCACTGACAGACGGGTGGTGGCCGCACAGGAGGTCCATTGGTCAGGAATTGAACCCGGGGGTGGGAGTGGGGGTCTCCAGGATGGAAGCTGAAAATTCTGCCATTGACCCACCACTGCCCTCTGATGGAGTACTATGCAGCTGTAGAAAAAGCATGAGGAAGTTCTCTGTCCTGATGTGAGAACTGCACCCCATATAATGCTAAAAGGAAAAAAAACACAATGCAGAACGGAGTGTGTGGCGTGCTGCCTTCAATTAAATAAAAGCAGAAAAAGATGTCTATAAATGTGTATTTGCATGTGTGTGCACTCAGGCAGCCTGGAAGAATACACCAGGAACTAATAGTGGTTTGTGAGTGTGAGTGTGTGTGTGTGTGTGTGTGAGAGAGAGAGAGATAGAGAAAGACAGAGAGGGAGACAGACAGAGAGGGAGGGAGGGGGGAGAGAGAGAGAGGGAACTGGGTTGGATGGAGACAAGGTGTGGAAGGAGAGTTTTCACCCAATATCTTGTTAGAGTTATTTGGTTATTGAACCATGTAACCGTGCTATCATTGAACCATGTAACTGTGCTATCTATTAACATTTAATTGGAAAGGAAAGCAGGTGCTGCTGGAGATTCGAGGGGAGAAGAGAAGACTAGACTGGGCTTCTTGGGATGGGAGTGCCCCGCAGTGTAGCTGTCCCTGTGAAGGGCTGTCAGTGGCCTGTGGTTTGCTCCAGCCAAGCTCAGCTGCTCTAATGAGGCCTGGAGTCACAGGGCCAGGCTTAACCAAGAACATGAGGAGACATGTTGAAGTTCTAACCCCCAGTACCTGTGAATGTGATCTTGTTTGAAAATACGGTCATTGAAGCTGTTATCAGTTAATGTAATGTTATACTGGAGTAGGGTAGGCATTAATCCTATATGGTGTCCTATAAATGAGAAGAGACACAGAGAGACGGACAGAGGGAAGACGGCCACGTGACAGAGGCAGGGATTGTAGGAGGCAGAGCTGTAAGCCAAGGAACTTCAAGGATTTCCAGGAGCCACCAGAAGCTAGGAGAGAAGCATGGAATAGATTCTCCTTCAGAGCCCTCGGAAGGAATCAACATGGCAGACATTCAATTTCAGACTCTCAACCTCCAGAACTGTGAGACAATACCTTTCTATTCCTGTAAGCCACCTGGTGTAAGGTACTTCATTGTGGCAGCCCTCGGACTCTGAGACAAAATCTTTTTCAGTCTGTGTATCAGTCAGGACCAGTCATGAGACAGAAACTGTACAGTAATTTAGGGAAAGTTTAATGTAAGGAACTGTTGACTATAGCAGGGGATTGGCATAACAAGGGATTGGCTACTGAGGAATAACAAGAACTCTAAAAATACAGGAATAGTAGATATGAGGGCAGCCACCATTTCTGGGGCTGAGGCAGAGCTCCCTAGAAAGGAGAAAATTTGGAAGTCTTTCTGCCTCCAGACTGGGACTTTGGTTCAGACCATGCCGGAGAGACACGACCTTGGCCCACTGGATGATGAAGTTCGCTGAGGTGCTGTGGGGTCTGCCAACAAAAGCATACAGGACCCAGGAAGAAAATCTTCTTGTTTATTGTCCCTCCAGTGCCCTCTACTGACGAAGATTAACACAATCCAGCTGGCAAGGGGACAATGTTCCAGAATCCTCAGAAGGGCAAAGAAGGATGGATTGAGAGCTGAGAGACAATAGATGGATAACTGGCAATCAGCTCTCATACGTGTCTAATACACACATTAGAACTTTCGTAAAGCAATGTAACATCTCTAAATGTCCACTAAACAAGTTATACCTACCCTTCGTACAAACGAAGCTCTCACGATTTCTGCAAAATGAAGAGACACAGTCCAGGTACCGTATCTATCGCTGCCTATATATACTAACTACTTCTCAAATTCAGTCCCAGTCCTGTTACGTATTTTGTTATCTCAAGACTAAATACCTGAAAACCTAGAGGAAATGGACAAATTTCTAGAAACTCACTACCTACCTAAACTAACACAAACAGAGATTGAACAACTAAACCTATAACAAAAGAAGAGATTGAAAAGGTAATTAAAAAACTCCCAACAACAACAACAAAAAGCCCTGGTTCTGATGATTTCACTGGAGAATTCTACCAAACTTTCAGAGAAGAGTTAACCCCACTACTACTAAAGGTATTTCAGTGCATAGAAAGGATGGAATGTTCCCAAACTCGTTCTATGAAGCCAGCATAACCCTGATACCAAAACCAGGTAAAGACATCACAAAAAAGAAAATTACAGACCAATATCCCTCATGAACATAGACACAAAAATCCTCAACAAAATTCTAGCCAATAGAATTCAACAATATATTAAAAAAAAATAATTTCCCATGATCAAGTGGGATTTATACCAGGTATGCAGGGATGGTTCAACATTAGAAAAACAACCGATGTAATCCATCACATAAATAAAACAAAAGACAAGAATCACATTATCTTATCAATTGATGCAGAAAATGCATCTGACAAAGTCCAACACCCATTCATGATAAAAGCTCTCAGCAAAACAGAAACAGAAGGGAAATTCCTCAACATAATTAAGGGCATTTATACAAAGCCAACAGCCAACGTTATCCTAAATGGAGAGGGTCTGAAAGCATTCCCCTTCAGAATGGGAACCAGAAAAGGATGCCCTTTATCACCACTCTTATTCACCACTGTACTGGAGGTCCTAGCCAGAGCAATTAGGCTAGAAAAAGAAATAAAGGGCATCCAAATTGGTAAGGGAAAAAGTACAAGTATCTCTGTTTGCAGATGATGTGATCTTATACACAGAAAACTCCAAATAATCCACAAGAAAACTACTGGAACTAATAGAAGATTTCAATAAAGTATCAGGATACAAGACAAACATACAAAAGTCAGTTGGATTCCTCTACACCAGCAAAGAGAACTTCCAAGAGGAAATCACCAAATCAATACCATTTACAATAGCTCCCAAGAAGATAAAATACT